AAGAGCCATGTGTTAACAATAATCATGGATGACTCCTCTAATCCCATACATTTTTTTTGGCAGTACCAGTTTTGAACTCTGGACTCCCATTGGCTTGGCTTTTATACCTGCTCAGCAGCCTTTCTACCACTTTAGTCATGACCAGCTCTGCTTTTTGCTGGCTATTTTGGAAATGAAGTCTCACAGACTTCTCTTCCAGGGAAAGTCTCAAACTCAGATCCTCACATATTAGCCTCTTGAGTAGAGAGGATTACAGGCATGAACCAGAATCCAGCACCAACTATGTTTTGCTTGTACCAGTCTGGAAGCTTGCATTCAGGGCCTGGACACTGTCCCTCAGCATTTTTGTTCAAGGCTAGCACTGTACCACTGAGTCACATCTCCTCTTCTGACATTTTGCTGGGTAATTGGAGAGGAGTATCATGGACTTTCCAGCCTGGGATGGCTCTGAACTGAAATCCTCAGATCTCATCCTCCTGAGTAGTTAGGATTACAGGTGTGAGCCATTAACATGCATTAGCATGCATTGCCTTTTAAAAAACTTTTTAAATTGTAGCAATGTGAATACAGAAAACACTTATACTCCCCAACCAGTTTCTACCAATGGTAACAATTTATACAGGAAGCAATTAACCCCTTGCTATTCAAATTTCACCCGCTTTCTATGCATGCATGTTACTTAGTTTTAGTTATAACTTTATCATGTTTTTATGATCACCAACAGTCAAGCTACATAATGGTTCTTTAGGAACCCTCAAACTGTTCCTTTTTCAGTCACAATCACATTTCTCTTTAACCTGGCAGCTACTTATTTGTTGTCCAATTATCTTTCTTTTACTCAGAGTAACTCCTCGGGATTAATCCAAGATAGGTGTTTAGGTTAGTTTCTTTTCTGTGTACTCATTTTTTAAATTAATTTACTAGAGGAATTACAAGAGTCAGCTAATGAGTACATTTCATTTCTTTTGGTACAGTATCTTCTGTTCCCTCACTCTCTCCCAGTCCTTCCCTCCTGTCTCCACCCACGAGATTCACTTTCATCAGTGTCCAGGGAGTTCCACTGCTGCACTTTTTCACCCTTTTTTCCTCGTGTATACTCATTTTTAATATGGAATCTTCACAGATGAAGTTACCTGGTTTCTGAATCCATTTAACAAAAAGTGACAAACCATCAGCAAGAAAAGAAGCCAAAAATATATAAGACTAGACTTAGCAATAAGAAAGGTTATCAGAGCAGGACTAACACAAGTTCTCTGTTTTAAACTTTAAGGTATATTACGATCCTCAGTCATTAAGGAAACTATTATAATATGAAATGGCATTTTAGGTCTACACATAAATGTCATTGTTAGTGTGTATGTTATGTATTTTTAAACACAGACTTTCTACTCCGAGGTTGAGATCAGAGGATCTCAGTTCAAAGCCAGCCCAGGCAGACAAATCCAAGTGACTGTTCTCTCTAATTAACCAGCAAAATGCCACAAGTGAGGTGTGGCTCAAGTGGCAGAATGTTAGCCTTGAGTGTAAATGCCAACTCAGAGTGAGGCTCTGAATTTCACTCCCAGTTCTGATACACAAACACAAACCCTTTATACAGCTTCACCAATTCTTCCTAACAAGTGCACTTCTTTCCTCACTGTACTTCATGTTTTGGTACTTTTCACTTTATATTATTATTATTATTAATATTGTCAGTTGTAGGGCTGGAAATCAGGGTCTGGGTGCTGTTTCTGAGTTCTTTTTGCTCAAGGCTAGAACTCTATCACTTTGAGCCACTGCCCCACTTCTGGTTTTCTGGTGGTTAATTGGGGATACGAGTCTCACTGATGCCGAGTATAGATGGCTCACACCTGTAATCCTAGCTACTCAGGAGGCTGAGATCTAAGGATCGTGGTTCAAAGCCAACCCAGGCAGAAAAGTCCGTGAAACTCTCATCTCCACTTAAGTTCCAGAAAACTGGAAGTTGAGCTGTGGCTCAAAATGGTAGAGCACTAGTAGAATTTCCTACTGGAGCTAGGTTTGAATTTGATCCTGAATTCTCAGCCTTTTGAGTAGCTGGGATTACAGGTATGAGCCACTGTAACCAGGCTGGTATTTTTTAATTTTGCATTTAATTATGTAATTTTGAATGCTTTGCAAATTGTAACTTGAGTACAAAGACCTTACTATGTATCAAGAATCACAAAAATTAAACCAAGGCCTAAAAGGAATTTCCCAAATCATGTAATTATCAAACATTAAAAGAACTAGCACTGGAACCTGAATCTTGTTATGTACAACCTTTTAGTTTTTAACCATGTTAGTTCAGAGCTACATATATAGATGCTCAAAAAATTCTAAGTGAATTGTTCATCTTTGTCAGTGAAAGGACACAGATGACATTAGAAATCATTCTGCTCAAAATTTCTCCACATTATGGAAAAACAGTTCAACAAATGAAATATAAAAGCATCAAATGAATCTACAATAGTATGGTTGGTTCTCGTGAGAAATAATTTTAAGTCAGCGCATACGACTAAAAATCATGTTAAAAAAACCTAAAATTGCACCTATGGGACAATACAAACCACTGTTTTTTGTTTTAAGCTGAGTTCCAACAAACTAGTAGCTGCATTTAGAGAACAAGTACAAAAGATAAGCATTAGGGAGTTAAGGGCTACACAGTTAAGGGCTACACAGTGAGATCCTGTCTCAAAAAAGATACACAATCTTTATCTTTGTGTGTGTTTTGTAGTACTGGAATTTGAACTCAAGAGACTCAAGACTTGCTAGACAGGCACTCTACTACTAAGCTATGTCTTTAGCCCTTTTGTACACTTGATTTTGAGGTAAGAGTCCTGCTGGGCATATGCCTGGACTGTGATTCTATTTGATGTTTCCTGCTGTAGCTGAGATGACCAGAGTGCTCTACCCCATCCAACTTCTTCCTCTGAGATGCAATCCCATGACTGCTTCTGCCTGTCAGCCTTGAACCTCAATCCTCTTGATATTAGCCTCCCTAGTAGCTAGCATTATCAGTATGAGTCACTGCATCAAGCTAAGTTGGGTTTTTTGTTGTTGTTGTTGGCCGTGGGGCCTTAACTCTGGGCCTGGGCGCTGTTCCTCAGCTCTTCAGCTTAATGCTAGCACTCTATCACTTGAACCCCAGCACTTCCAGCTTTTTCTGCTTATGTAGGGCAGAGGAATTGAACCCAGGGCCTCATGCATGCAAGGCAAGCACTCTACCACTAAGCTACCTTCCCAGCCCCAAACCAAATTTCTTTTGTTTTGGGGGTATTTATCAAAGTTATATACGGTTGATAGAACTCCATTGTACTTCATATACCCACAAAGTATTTAAATGGCAGGTCTGTGAGGCTACTCTATAGCATAGACTAACATCTCATACATTCCAATACTCAAAAGGGGTTCCTCCCATACAACTCCAAATCATTTTACCATTTTCCCTTAAGAAGTCACAGAAGGACTTAAAAAAATTTTTTTAAGCTGTGAGAAGCCTAAAAAAAATTTATCATTGTTTGAGGTTATATTACAAATTTTCTCACTTCATACTACAATAATTCCTCCAAGGGTTTCAGTAAAATAGAATTAAGAATTTTTAAGCCATTAGCAGCTAAGTAGTAAAATTAGATATAAAATCTGGGTTAGCCGGGAGCTGGTGGGTCACACCTGTAATCCTAGCCACTCAGGAGGCTGAGATCTGAGGGTCGTGGTTCAAAGCTAGCCCAGGCAGGAAAGTCTGAAAGACTCTTATTTCCAATTAACCAGCAGAAAACCAGAAGTGGCAGTGTGGCTTAAGTGGTAGAGCGCTTGCCTTGAGCTGAAGAGCTCAGGGACAGTGCCCAGGCCCAGAGTTCAAGCTCTGTGACTGACAAAAAATAAAATAAAATCTGGGTTACTACCTATAAATACCTATCTCTAGAAAGATGTACTATACCAGAAAATAAAATAACTCCTATAAATTGTATAGCAAGCAGCAAAATTCTGGGGTTTTTAGGGGATGGGGGGAAAAGAGCTTGCTTTGCTAGTTTAGCTGGTGTTCTACCACCTGAATCACTTCTCTAGCCTGGCCTGGCTTTTTGCTGGTTATTTTGGAAATGGGAGTTTTAAAAACTTTTCTGGCTTCCTGCAGATCTCAGCATCCTGATAGCAATGACTATAAGGCTCAACTATCAGCACCAAGCTAAACTCTGGATTTCTTTAAAAAATGTTTTCATAGAATTTCATTTTGAAAGGTCTAAGACAAAAATATACTCTATAGTACCTGAGTACATAGCTCATGGGAATAACAGAAAGAACAAATGAAAGTGGGGCTGTGTAAGACCTTTGAGATTAAAATATCCCAGTTGGTATTTTTGTAAAAGTTCCCAACAGACTAAAGTTACATCCATGGCTATCTGCTAGATAGAAATTGTTCAAATGTTAATAATCTTGCCATTTTCTGTTGTGTACTGAGGACTGACTCCATGGCACAGTTCTGGCTAAACATGCACTTTTCCAGAGCCAGACCCCAGCTCAATTTTACTATTTTTAATAGTAAGTACTTTCGTGTGTGCGTGTGTGTATGCATATGAATGCGCAAGCACTGGGGGCTTGAAGCCTTGAGTTCTTGTGGTCCACCAACTGAGCCATACTTTAACTTTGGACTTTTGGCTTGATAACTGGAGAAGTCTTGAGGATTTGTCTGCACAGCTGGCTTTGAACCAAGACACTCATATCACTGCTTCTTGAGTGGCTAGGATTTTAGGTGTAAGCCACTGGTGTACAGCTTTCTTTTTTGTTTTAATAATAATCTCCAAACTTGTATCTTGAAATTTATATTCTGAAATATTCATGGATTTTCATGTAGCCAATCTCCACAACAGAAAATTATTATAAGGATGTGGTAGCTAAGAGGTATCCTTCTGTTTTACTAAAAATAAAGCAATATAATCTGGCAAATGGCCAGTTGCAATACTGGACTTTATATAGTTGAAGTGACTTAAAAACCCAATACAAGAGGAGGTGAAATAATTTTATTTCACAGTTGTCTTTAAAATCCCAAAGACACTATTTTCTTCATATAAAAACATTGGTATAGATATCCATATTTTCTAGAAAATGATAACATAGTCCCTCAGGAAAAAAAATGCACCCAATTATATGGTTTCAGGGAAGTTGCTTGGGAAAAAACTCCCTCTGGACTGATTCCTAAAACATGCCATTCCACCACTATGCATTTGTTGGTTCAAAGTACAGATTATTGTCATTAGTATGCACTTCTGCACTTTCATACATCTGATAACACACTTTTATCACTTAATGTTCCATTGGTTCATCAGCCTTTTCTGCAGGTTCATCAGCAGGTTGTGTAGGCTTAAAAGGGAAAAAAAAAAAAACAAGCAAAGATGTAAAATCAACACTTCATCAATATGTACTCCTAACCATAAATATTATGGTTAGGATAAATATATACGTAAATATATTACATTATAAAAAAATTAGAACACAAGTTAGAAGGTATTTTTGATAACCAGTTTTCAATATATTGTCCTGTTAAAATTTCTGAAGTTTTATAAGTTATATATAATCTCAGTTCTGAAAGTCATTCAATAGTAGTTCTATATATCACACTTTGTCTTGCTCAAGAGTTAAAAGCCTTTTAAAAAATCTTTTATTGTTATTACTAAGTAGTTGTACAAAGGGATTAAAATTTTGTAAGTCAGTTTATGAGTACAATGTTGCTTTTTTTTTTTTGGTCAGTTGTAGGGCTTGAACTCAGGGCCTGGGTACTGTCCCTGAGCCTCTTTGTGCTTAAGGTTAGTGCTCTACCACCTGAGCCACAGCACCATTTTTTTTGAGTGGCTAACTAGAGATACTCATGGACTTTCCTGCTCAGGCTAGCTTTGAACCAGGATCCTCTCAGATCTCAGCCTTCTGCGTAGCTAGGATTACAAGCATGAGCCACTGGCACCTGGTTATAGTTCATTTTTTATATAACATACACTGGCTATAAAGGTTGCATTTGCTTGTCTTCCTCCTTTCATGGGCCTTCCTTTTCCCCCTCCCCCACAAAACATGTTTCCATTTCCTGGTATTCTTTTGATAAACAATAGAGAGTTACACCTTTGGGTTCCTCCATTAGTGTTCCATCCTTTCATCAGTTTGTGTATAAATGCATAGAGCCCTGCACGTTATAATGCATATTTGTATTTTAGATCTAGCTTTCCATATGAGAAAATATGCGCCCTTCATCTCTCTGAGCCTGATACTTAAAATACAACCAGCACTTTTTAAACATCCTTTACCAACAAACATAGCAAAAACACAAATAAGCTACTATTCCAAAGCATTCTTTCCAGCAGACTAATTCTTACCAACAACTGCAATAATGCAAATCTTAGCTCTCCAAATAATATTAACAATATCTTTGTCAAGTTAAAAAAATCACTCATGAAGCCAGGTGCTGGTGGCTCACACCTGTAATTCTAGCTACTCGGAAGCTAAGATCTGAGGACCAGGGTTCAAAGCCAGCCTGGGCAGGAAAGTCAGTGAGACTTCTATCTCCAATTAACCACAAATAAGCTGGAAGTGAAACTGTAATTCACTTGTTAGAGCACTAGCCTTAATCAAAAAAGATCAGGGACTGCATCCAAGCCCTGTGTTTAAATCCCAGGACGGAACCCAAAAAGAACAAAACCAAACATAAACAACAAAAAACCCTCATGAGGTTGGGAGAGATAGGGGAGAATCATGAAAGGGATGACACCGATCAAGACGTAGTGCACTATCATGTTGAATTGAAACCACCCTTTGTACTTAAGGACAAACCCCCCCTTAAAAAACAAAACAAAACAAAAACTAACCCTCATTGCTATAAAAGAATTTCTGTATTAGACACTTCTGGTGGTAGTGAAGTTTAAATAAGGGCCTTCTGTATGTCTACCACTTGAGCCAAGCTTCCAGCCCTGGCTTTTGCTGTAATTTGGAGATAAAGATGCTAGTGAACTTTTTTGCTCTGGCTTGAACTGTGATTCTTAGATCTCAGCCTCCTAAGTAGTAAGACTTATAGGAATGAGTCACCCAGTATAAGGCTACCACTTTTTATTTTTAATTCCATAGCTATTAAATAAGCTTTCATTGATAGCAAATACGAGCCTGTTATAGAGGACCAGCTGTGATCCCAGCACTTGGGATGCTGAGGCAATAGGATCATGAGTCTGACATTAATCTGGAATATGGTAAGACCTTGGACTCCTACCTTCAAAACATAGGCTACAGGTGTAGCTCAAATGGTAGAATGCACCTAGTAAATACAAAGCCCTAGTTCAAACCATAATTCTCCCCCAAATAAAAGGATTTTTTTAAAAAAAGCAATAGCCTCAGAACCCAGAAAAGATTACCTAACACTTTACTTTTTCACCAACAGTTCTTGTTCTTGATGCTCTTCTTATTATTTATGAAGACCCTACTTACTGTTCAAGGATGGCCCCAATACGCACTTCTTTCAATGTCTACTCATAAACAATCTGGGTTAGCCCTGTGACTTACTTTTACCAACAGAATGTGCAGAAGTGATGCTGTTGGTCTGGCAGTAAGGCCCAAGTGGTATAATATGTGGCTACCAAGTATGAAAAACTGGCTTTAATGTCCAGGACTCAGGAAAAGAAAACGAAAAGTAACATTTGACCAGTCTCATTTAAGAATGCCACTCTAGGGGCTGGGAAGGTGGCTCAGTGGTAGAGCGCTTGCCTTGCATGCATGAGGCCCTGGGTTCGATTCCTCAGCACCACATAAGCAAAAAGAAAAAAGCCAGAAGTGGCTCTGTGGCTCAAGTGGTAGAGCGCTAGCCTTGAGCTGAAGAGCTGAGGGACAGCGCCCAGGCTCAGAGTTCAGGCCCCATAACGGGACCCAAAAAAAACAAAAAAAGAATGCCACTCTCATTTTCTACTTTTTTTTTCTCACAGCTTTCACTTTTAAACTTTTGCAAATTCTTAGCTTTTTCCACCTTGTTTGAGAGGCCCTCCTAAAGGGTTCCTGCGACTACACGGACAGAGGCCCAGTTACTCTCTAGCAGAGGACCCAGCCTTCTAGCTGCTCCTCTAGAACCCATAGTAAAGACATGAGTGGCTGCACTGAATTTCCTGCCCTATCCCAACATTTGAATACATTTTTGAGATCTCAAGTGAGAATAGCAAAAGAACCACCTAGCTGTGCCTCAGCCACAGAATTTTGAGAAATTCTTGTTTTAATCCCCTAAGTTTTAGCAGTAGCTCAATGTGTGACAATAGAGAAATTCACAATTCTCCCCTGACCCTCCAATATTTTAGTTTTCTCAGTTCTTAATTTTCTTATTCCCATTTGAACTATAAGTCTATCTCAGTAAAGGACAAAATTGGTAGGTTCAGACAGTTGTGATGAGAATAACACCTTCTAGAAAAAAACCCTTTTGTATTAAGAATAATTACCTGTGCCTTTCTTTGAGGTCTTTCTTCAAGACCTTCCAGGAATGGGGACACATCATCGTCATCATAGATTGTAAACTCCAAGTCTTTACCAACAATTCCAATGGAAACATTCTGATGGGAAATAAAGTAAACAAAATAAGTCACAAAAATGAATATGCTACAATGGGTCAAAATAGAAAATTTTCAGATAGCTCTTGAACTTTAAATACTGTCTATAAAATGGTACAAGCTATAAAGTTTCATATAGGTACTAAATATTTATCCAATGATCATAAAAATGGCTTTATAATTTTGATTAGGCATTAGTGGCTTTTGTTCTGGATCATATAATACCAGTTCCTGTATCATTCAGTCTTTTTTTTCCCCGTGCTTGGGATTGAACCCACAATCTCAAGCATACTCTCTAAGTGTTCCACTGATAAAACTATACCCCTTTATTCCATTCTTCCTTTCTTCTTGACAACAATTTGCAACATTCTCCACTCTCCACAAAATCAACAACAACAAAAAAAACTGTTCCTATTTCACTAAGAAAATAGAAGCATTTGGAACAGACAGCATTTCTCACAGCTTCTAAGTTTTACTTTACTTAGGTCTCTAGATTCTCTCCCTTCCTGTTACCATCAATATTAACTTCAATTTCCTTGGAAAAGCTAATCACTCCATTTGTATACTGTCAAAGGACATTGTTCTAGCCATTTTTACCTAAGTTCGTCACTTCACACTGATATCTTTCATTGACATGCAGTAAATATGATGTAATTTTCCCCATCTTAAAAAAAATCCCAACCAATGAAAAATCCTTACTACAACCTCTTCAGTCACCAGTTCATTTCTCTGGATCCTCAATAGAAAAATTTTCTCCAGAGAGCTATCTCCAATTCTCTTTCCAAGGATTTCTCTTTATCCAAGTTTTCCTCCTTCTCTAACCATCTGAGTTTCTGAGATCTCCAAATCTCTAAAGGCTAAACTGTCTTCAGTTCAGTCCTCAAATTGCTTGCCTATTTTGATTCCTTTAAGAACCGCATCTAGTCTACTCTTTAAATGTCATTTCAATGTAAAGATTTCAAAAATTTGAACTCTAGGCTAAATCACTCTCCATAGAAATCTAGGAAGTACTGATAATAACTGCTTGTCTATATTGCTAGACAAAGAAACAGCACTTGAAATTTTACATGCCCTAAACTGACTACCTAATCTGCTGTACTCCTAATATAAAACTGGTTCCTCCTTCTACGCTCTTATGAATCACAGCTAATCAAAAATCTTTCCCTCCAAGTAAAAACCTTGGAAGCAATACCTTCCCCAGATTTGTTTGCAAACTTGTTTGCTCTAATTTCAGAACATACCTTTATCACTCTGCTGCAGGCACCATCACCTCTCACATGAATCACTGTCTGTCTTAGTTTTAAAACGTACTTGCCCAAGCCCCCACTACACAAAAGTCTCTTGTCAAAAGCCCAAGTGTCTTAAAAGCGAAATCAAATTAGGGTACTCTTAACTTAAATGCTTAAACCCTAAGAATAAAATACAACATACCCACAATAAGAAATATACAATATGACCTCCATTTTATTTCTCATTTTTTTTCCTTCTCTTGATCACCAGCCTCACTACTTAACCTCCTTACCTATTAGAAAACTCTTTATTTCAGGACCTTTGCACTTGCACTCCTAAGAATAATCTGGCTCTAGACATCTGTATGACTCACTCACCTCCTTTAGATCTCTTCTTTAAATGTCACTTTCTTGGTGAGGTCACCCATGACCACTCTATTTTAAATGACATCTTATAACATTTACTCAATTACATTCTTTCACCTGTTAAACTGTTATTTTTTTCTATAGCATTTATAATCTATAGTTTATATGTGCATTTTTTCCTATCCCTGCCCTTTTAGATGAATCTATGGTCAATAAGGCTTTTTGTTATGTTTCCATATTTTCAATGCCTATAAAGTGTCTATAAATGATAGGTGCTCTGTACATGTATTTATTAACGATATTAGTACAAAGATTTATCTACCTGGGAATACAAATGGGACTTTTCTGCCCAGGCTGACTTCAAACCGCAATTCTCAGATCTCAGCCTCCTGAGTAGCTAGGATTACAGGTGTGAGCCACCAGTGCCCAGCTTCTACTTTTCTTTAACAGAGAACTGTTCCCTAAAGTCTCTGTTCTGTCTATAATCTACCAGGAAGAAATGTAAGAAAGGCAGAAAAGCAGGTGTGTGGATGTATAAAGGTGAATGAAATTTACTGGTTTTTTATTTGCTTTATATCAAAAAGAACTGTTTTAAAAAATGACTATTCAAATTTGTATCACTTAGTAAAGAACCTGAAAGGAACATAGGAACTCAAACATTTTCCAAATTAAAAAACATAAGTAAAGATGGGCATGGTGGCTCATGGCTGAATTCCCAGCACTTGGGAGGCTAAAGCAGGAGGATCTAGAGTTTGAGACCAAATTGTGTTACATAGAGTTCTATGCCAGTGAAACCTTATCATGAACAAATAAATATCCAAGCACCAATCCTCCCTCCTCCAAGAAGTATACACTCTACAACTTATAATATTCAACAGAAGATTAAACTGGTATGTTAATATCTACAATTGGAAAACATGATATATACCTTTGTAGTTAGGTCCTGCTCTGCAGGAAGTGTCTCCCTTAATGCACGTAGACCATGTTTAACCAATTCATTTAAATTACCTATAAAAATACATGAATAATTACTTCTTAATTTCATCATCACATTCAGCCTCTTTTATTATTTATCTTTTATTATTTTATTGAAATAGAGCTTTTAGTTTCACACTAAACTTACCAGAATAAAAACGGCTAAAAGTTTAATGCTAATGGTACAATCTTCTAGTAACAACTAATAACATTCATAACTTATTTTAATGAGGGCACAGGTTCAGACCTATAAAGATCCTAGCCAAATTACCATTATTTAAAATGTTCAATTTTAATCCAGTACTTCCAAGCTCATTTGGTCCTACAACTCCATTTTCTCAAAGTTACCTACTTTCATCCTACAACAAAATTTGCTTCAAATAATGTTAATAAGATAATTAGCCAGGCACTGGTGGCTCAGGCCTGTAATCCTAGCTACTCAGGAGCTGAGATCTGAGGATCACAGTTCAAAGCCAGCTCCGAGGAAAGTCCATGAGATTCTTTTTTTGGTCTGGTCGTGGGGCCTGAACTCTGGCCTGGGCGCTGTCCCTCAGCTCTTCAGCTCAAGGCTAGTGCTCTACCACTTGAGCCACAGTGCCACGTCCAGCTTTTTTTTTTTTTTTTTCCTGCTTATGTGGTGCTGAGGAATCGAACTCAGGGCCTCATGCATGCAAGGCAAGCGCTCTACCACTGAGCCACCTTCCCAGCCCTAGTCCATGAGATTCTTATCTCCAATGAACTACTCAGAAAAAGCCAGAAGCCGTGCTAGCCTTGAAGCTTAGGAACAGCATCCAGGCCCAGCAAAAATGAATAAATAAAGGTAATTATTCTCCACTATATTCATTGATCCTTAGGTGTTTCCTTCACACTACTATATTACAAGAAAACTTATAAACAGTCACAGGTGTCAAGGTCTCACATTTATAATACTAGCTACTCAGGAAGCTGAGATAGTGTCAAGGTCCAAAGCCTGCCCTGGGAAGAAAAGCCTGCAAGATTCTATCTCCAATCCATCAGCAAAATGTTGTACTGGAGGCATGGTTCAAGTTGTAACGTGCCAGTGGTGAGCAAGTAAAATGGAAGCACAAGGCCCTAAGTTCAAGCCATGGTATGGCTTCCTTTAGCTTAGGTACGATGTCTTTTACTCATCTATAGACTATTTAATGCAAAAATGTTTGAACAAATGCAGCAGTGATATCCACTAGAAATTGCTGAAATAAACTACACAATGGATGAAGAAGGGAGGTAAAAACTGGGAAAGAGAGAGGGAAAGGATTACACTGTCCAAAAAGAACTGTACTCATTACCTGACTTATGAAACTGTAATCCCTCTCTACATTACCTTTATAATAATTTTTTAAAAAAAGAATGCTTAAGGTTGGGGATACATCTGAAAAAATTCTATTGGTAAATAGAAGAAGTAAAAACTAGTAATTGTGATATTAACAATAAATACTTTAAGGGTTTCATTTAATAAGGAAATCCTGTAAGAGTAATATTTTTCTTAGGACAATACATTATTCACTATATAAAGACAAAATGGAAGTTATTACTTACACTCTATAAACTCAGACATATGTCTCTCCAAGTAAGTACGAGCTGATTGAGAACGAGCTCCAATGGACATAGCTCTGCAGTCAAAATAGTTAGCAGATGGACAGGTTTGGAAAATGTGAGGGCCCATATCCTACAAATAGAAAAAAACAAAACAAAACAATTCTTGACTTTATGTATTTTCTGTGTAGTTGTTTTTGCTTATTTATTTATTGCCAGTCTTGGGGCTTGAATTAAGGGCCTGGGTGCTGTCCCTGAGCCTCTTTGTACACAAGGCTAGCACTCTTACCACTTGAGCCAAAGTGCCACTTCTGGTGTCTGAGGATTAATTGTAGATAAAGAGTCTCATGGGGACTCTTCTGTCCAGGCTGGCTTTGAACTTTGATCCTCAGAAATCAACCTCCTGAGTAGCTATAGCTAGGATTACAGATGTGAGCCACTGGTGCCTGGCTGTTTTTATTTTTTCTCATTTTTGTCGGTCACGGAGCTTGAACGCTGGGCCTGGGCGCTGTCCCTCAGCTCTTCAGCTCAAGGCTAGCACCCTACCACTTGAGTCACAGCTCCTACTTCTGGCCTTTTCTGTTTATTGATGCTGAGGAATCGAACCCAGGGCCTCATGCATGTGAGGCAAGCACTCTACCACTGAGCCATCTTCCCAGCCCTGTTTTTATTTTTTCTTAAAGACAGCATCTTACAATGTAGCTCAGGCCAGACTCTAATTTGCTATCCTTCTGCCTCAGTACTGGGATTACAAGCATGCATTATCATGCTCAGCACTATAGTTCTTAAAATAGTGAGAGTGCTATATAAACTTACATCATAGCCAGCAATGAGCAGCCCAACACCATATGGTCTTCTGCCATACCGCTGAGTTGGTATCTGGGTCTCTTAAACTAGTTAAAGAACTTGTTCTAAACAAAGAATAAAGTACTATCTTTATTTTAAAATTAAACAAAACCAAGACGGTTAGCATCTTCCTAAATTACTGTGTAGTCCACAAGAAATAAAATAGAACAATATTTTTTTACCTAATATTATACAATGCGTAACATTCCACCCCAAGAATACATGTTAGCAAAATGATTTTTTTTTCCCATGTAGAACCTCATTTGTTTTGGCTTCAGAGGTTTAAAGCACTGGGGTACACCTAGAGCAGTAAGAAAATTCAAATTTCTGTGAAAATGGTGTTTGGACAGTTAAATTCCAACTGCTTAAAAAGGCTAATGAAAAACTTCCAATTAAAGCTTTTACAATCTTTTTTTTTTTTTTGGTCCGGTTGTGGGGCCTGAACTCTGGGCCTGGGCGCTGTCCCTCAGCTCTTCAGCTCAAGGCTAGCACTCTACCACTTGAGCCACAGCGCCACTTCCGGCTTTTTTCTTATGTGGTGCTGAGGAATCGAACCCAGGCATGCAAGGCAAGCGCTCTACCACTGAGCCACCTTTCCAGCTCCAGCTTTTACAATCCTATCTATGGTATTATTACTTCCTAATAAACTAACACAAAGATTAAGTACCAAAGACTTTTGGAGTTTACATTTGTAAATGTTAACATAAAAAGGATACTGCTTCCAATTAGAGAAACAAGACGAGACACAGGAAGGGGTCTGTCAAATACAAATCTGGAATCCAAACATTCCTGGCGCATAAAATTACTAAAAGAGAAACAAGAAAATTAGTAATCTCCTATCACAGAGAGCTAATTTAATAAAGCAGTTTGATTCACTTTTCTTTTTTCTAAACGTTTTCATGGGTTGCACCCATATGAACAAACCAGAAAGACAAGACAAGGTCATAAGGATGTATTTTTACATTAAGCAGGGAGGATATGAAGTTTTTCTTTTTGGTGGTACTGGGTGTTTGAACTCAGAGCTTCCCACTGTGAGAAACATAGGTGACATATAGGTATCTCTACTGCATGAGTCACATCTCCAGTCCTTTTTTTAACTTAGGTTATTTTTGATAGGGTCTTGCTTTTTCCTGAGACTTGCCAGGACACTGTGCATTCTTGCCAAGCACCCTCCCACTAACATACAAATTTAGCACTTGATGAACAAATGCTGACAAAAGGAACTAAGCTATTTCTTCAGTATTTTTAACTAAACCTGACCATTTTGGCAGTCTCTAACCACATGAAGCAACTAAGACCTTCAAAAGTAACTGTGATATACTGTTAAGTATAAAGCACACAACAAATTTCAAAGTCTTAACATCAAAATATATACAGAATCTCACTAATAAAGTTTTTATGTTTAACTATATGATGGCATGATAATATTTTAGATCTATTAGAATAAATAAAATGTGACAATATAACATATTTCACATTTATAGCAGACAGAAATCTATGAAGCCATAGCTATCTTGTTGACTTAAGAGATTAAGGTATAACTTAAGAGCTACTTAAAAATCTTAAACGGTATTACCCTCCAAACCTACCATTTATGCTTCTTAATCAAATAATTAAAGAAATTAGCTTTGACCACTTTCTGTTCACATCAACATGTATACATGTGTGTTTTCATGCTCTTTCTAAAGACACTTTAAGTGTTCTACCTGTAAGTCTTCATTCTTATATAAAAGAATATACTGGAAAAGTGTCTATTTACCCAATCTCAAACACTAAGGGAGGGGGTGAGAATTCAGTCTATAATAACAAATCCACATCTCTTCAGTTACATACTGCTTATTAACCAAAAATAATCTTAACATCCTTATGCTAACAAAAATTTCCCTTTTACTCTCCACTTCTGTCTAGATAGACTAGACCTTAAGTTCCTTGAGGACAAAATCTATGTCTTAATCATTTTTCTACATCTCATAATTACCTACTATTGAGCTTTGCCAAATGTTTTCGTTTTGTTTTTTGTGCCAGTCCTTGGGCTTGAACTCAGGGGTTAGGCACTGTCCCTGAGTTTTTTTGCTCAAGGCTAATAATGCTCTACCACTTGAGCCATGGCTGCACTTCCAGCTTTTTGGTGGTTAACTGGAGATAAGAGTTGCAATGACTTTCCTGCCTGGCCTGGCTCAAAACAGCAATTCTCAGATCTCAGCCTCCTGAGGAGCCATCAGTGTCCAGAAAAAAAGTTAAATAATTTCTGATTCAAGGGTCTGGTTCGTTCTTAAGTATCAAACAAAAAATGTCAAGCCGGTTTTAGACATATATACAATGTACTAACAATCACACTATTCCGTGACTTCTCTAAAGTGGCAAAATGTATAATTTTAGTTACTAGTGTAAAAAATACATAGAAATATTGAGATAGTTACAACCTTAATTATAATTTATAAATATTCTAGTGGACAACTTCCTAAAATATCTGAGCTAGATTTTTTTTCTAGAAAAGTAATCAGTTATGACAGAGATATTTGTTTTGTTTTTCATGATAATACTTACCACAACAGTCTAGCATCTGCAGTAAGTCCCGCAATTGAAATACCAATATGGTTGTCAACATGGAGAATTTTTTTCTGGTGAGCTGCAAGTTCTGATTGTGCCCTCTAAACAGAGACATTATAGGATATTAAGAAAAATGTATGTATTTTTTGTTTATACAGTGAAAATTTCACTTGGTAGTTCTGTTCTCCAAAGGAGTAATATATATTTATTTCTTTACTTACTTTTAATGCAACCAATACTGCATGAGTTTTTGATTTCAGACCAACTGTGGCTGAACCTTGTTTAACAGCTTCCATTGCATATTCAATTTGATGAATCCTTCCCTAAAAAGATAATACAGTTTAAATTTACTTTAGGAGATTATTTTATAAATTAGAAATGGTTCCAAAGCTTAAGTGAGGATAGTTAAAGATCAAATGACTTAATTAAAGCCCTACCTCCTGAGCAGCTAGGATTACAAGCAGGAGCCAGTGTCACCCAGCTTTTTTTTTTTTGAGACAGGGTCTTAGTAAGTTGCTAAGACTGGCCTCAAACTCAGCAATCCTCTAGCCTCAGTGTCCTGAGCAGCTGGAATTAAGGCCTTCGATCCTCATTTACAATCTCTAAATCTATTGCAGGTTAAGAAAAAAACACTTTACAGACACAGGATATAGGGGCCTGGTCATGGCACACCTGTAATCCCAGCACTTGGGAGGCTGAGGCAGGAAGACCTTGAGTTCTGAGCTATGTTTCAAGATCATGTGGAAAGAGAGAGACTGAAAGGAAGAGGGGGGGGAGAGAGGGAGAAAGAGAAAGAGAGAAAGAGGGGGGGTACAATAAATAAAAATGGAATGAAACTTATCTTACTTACCTGAGGGCTCCAAACAGTGACATCATTATCATACTGGTTGCGAAACTGAAAGAAAAAAAGACCTCTTAATTTAAGAACCAAACCCAATTTACAGCATTAACAAATGTTTCACATGTTTCCACTCAACGTTAAAGCAGTTTCATTAATGCAACTCTGCTGGAACATCACCACCATACTGTGTGGTACCTAGGAGGCTGGTGGAAGGGGCAGCAGCATTTTATTTATTTTTATTTTTTATTTTTAAATTTTTTTTATTTTTGCCAGTCCTGGGTCTTGAACTCAGGACCTGGGCACTGTCCCAGAGCTGCTTTTGCTCAAGGCTAGTGCTCCACCACTTGCGCCAGGGGACCATTTCCAGCTTTTTGCTTATATGGTGCTGAGGAATCGAACCCAGGGCCTCAGGCATGCAAGGCAAGCGCTCTACCACTGAGCCACCTTCCCAGCCCCGGCAGCAGCCTTTTAAGTATCCAATCTTACCTTTCTGCTCTGTCACCCTCTATAGCACTCTACTTGGGCAGTCAACCAGTAAAGTTCGCAGGCATCGACTTTTCTACCTATCTTGGCTTATATGTTGTTCTCTAACAAATCCCCCTGAGACTTTTACTTTAAATTATTCCACAAACCTGTCTCCTGAAGTCTTCTCCATCTTTTTCTCTAAAATTTACTCCAACACTTCCACAGTTCCTTATCTACATATTACCATTAGGGATAAGCCTGACTTAGATTTGAAACTCTAACTTGTGCCAACCAGTATTCATACTGAGTGAATAAACGCAAAGATGTCCTCGGGAAGTTAAGAGATAAATAAAAATAGCTATAGGGACAGAAGTATTAGTGCCCTAATAACGTTATCAGTTGGGAAGAGAGTCATGGGGTGAGAGCTGGAGTGGCAGACCCAAGGGAAGCGAGGGCCCGACACTGCACCTCTGATCACCGTCCATCACCAAAAGACAGAACAAAGTGCTTAGAAGGGGCCTTTTCGTACCAAGCGCTGGGGGGACGGAGAAGTTAAAAGGACCCACAAAGTAAATGGTCGCGGGTTCCAGGAACCGAGGGGTCCGGTGCACGGTGACTGGGAGGCCTTTCCTTCCGCTCAGAGCCCACTCACAGGACGAGGGTTCAGCTACGGACTGAATTCAGCTACCGCGAATCCCCGCCAGTGGAGGAACTCTGCGCAGCGACCGCAAGGCGAGTGGTTAGGGGCCCCGCGGAGGCCGCACAACAGCGTGCAGCAGGCCGCAGCCACTGCCGACCGCGCCGTGACGGGCCGGGCCTGGCCCGGAGGTGCTGAATCACAGCCCGAGGCTTCCCGAGTCTGCAAGGCTCGCCCGGCCCTCGCCCGCCCCGGGTCTCGTGAGCAAGGTGACAAGAGAGGCCACACACCGACCCGCGGTCAGCGGACCTTTGCCTTCACCCTCCTAAGGACCGAGATTTCAACGCACCATAGCTCCGGCGCCGACCTGGATGCGAGAGCCTCTAGCAAAGCTGCGAATGGAAGAGCGCGGCTGAACCGAAGAGCTCGGCGATCGACAGGGAAAGGCTGCGTGGCTTAGACGACAGCGGCCGACGCAGGGAAGGGCTGTCTATTCCAGAGCTATCGATGGGCTCCTACTGTTTTCCCCGCCCTCAAAACACCCCCACGGCCTCAGGGATGGAGGTGGAGCTAGGGAAAATAGCTGAAGTGGGCGCAGTCTCTGGAAATCCAAGAGCCGTGATTGGCTGGGAACCTTGGACCACAATTGCCGGCCCGCGGTGGTCTCGCGAGTCGTGAGACCTCAGGTTTAGACTTGGTGTGTGGTGGCATCCGGTCCCGCCAGTTCCCCATTCTTGTAGCTAAGGACTGTGCCAACAGTTGGGGGGTGACCTGAACCTGCGGCTGGACCTCTCCTCGGGCACAGTCTTGGGAAGTTGCACAGTTGAGAAGAACTAGGCTGCAGAAAAGGCCACACAGTAGTGGTATAGTTGACGCTGGAGCGTGTCCACCTTGCCCTTCCTTGAGTAGGTTGTATACAAGCTTTCTGCTCTGGAATCCTTTCTTATTATTCCCTGGAGAGCTCATGTAGTCCGATGCTCAGTTATCACTGAACGCTCATTTTAATCAGTTGCTTCCGCCAGACTTTGAACTTCATTTTCTTGTGAATTTCTGTCTTTTTAGGGCATCTGTTGTTAAATCCTCAAGTGATGTGAGTTAACACAACTCTGCGAGCAGCTGCCAATCTAATCTACTCCCTGCTACTTCCCCCTTGTAAAGGAGAAAGGAGGAGTACCTAGCAAACATAGCAGTAATTGTTAAACATCATTAGTAAGCGATATCAGGACTTTTTGTTGTTGCGTGTTTTTTTTTCAGAATTGTTAACAGTAAATTTTCTGAACAAAAAACAAGTTGATTGTTTCCCCCTCTCCCCCATAGACATATAAATCTCACTGTGATATTCTCTTAATTGACTATAACTGGTACAGTGAATAAATGACACGTGAAGAGTACCAGGTACAAATAACTTGATTATTTTCTTTCCCTCCATATGTTAACATACACCCAGTGAATTTAATTTCTCTGCTTGCTTCTTGAATGTAATATACTACAAATGTAATGACACTTCTAGTTAGTCAAGTTGAAGGAGGCTCCCCACACATCCATCCCAGGGGACCACGCAGAGGCAGGCAGGCACAGGAGAAAGATTATTAAGGCTTATTAGAGGAGCCAGTTTCCCCCAAGAGGGAGCACATGGCACCTGTCCCTATCCAGGTAGCAGGAGGGTCTGAAGGATAGGAAGTGAGGTAGATGGGAGTTCAGGTAGGTTTGGGCGGAGAGAGGGAGGGGCCAGCTGTATGGAGGGAACTCCAGGAATGGGAGCGGGGCCCAGGTCTGGGTGGAGCTGCGGACCAAAGGTGAGCATAATAGTAACACAAGTAAAAATGACAATCAGTCTATAAAATTAAATCTCTCAATTAGTGATCTCAAGTCATTAATTAATACTTTCAGTAAACTAATAAAAAAAAATAAGGGAGAAGCCTTTTAACTGCACTGGTGACTCATGCTTATAATTCCAGCTGCTTGGGAGGTTGAGAGTGAAAGGATCAGTGTTGAAGCCCAGCAGAGACTGAAAAGTTCATGAGACCCCCCCTCCTTTTATTTTATTTTTTTCCAAATTTTTTATTGTGATTAAGGGGTTACATAATTTCCCAAATTTCACAGTATTGTGGGATAGTGATGCTTAGTTAAAGTCACAAACACATTCTAACTTTCATGTGGCAAATTGTCTATCATGGTCTGTAACATTTATGAGTTCTATGAGCTTTGCAATACAATTATTTCTTCCATTTGGGTGATATGTACATTTCTTTTGTTTTGCATAGCATCAGCTGTTCCCTCTTTCCCACTTGTTCCCTCCCTCCCATCGCTGCCATTGAGTTGCTTAGTTCATTTTGGTCAATGTCCAGTGCAGCTGATGGGTCCCCCCTCCTGTCATTTTAAAGCCAGCCCAGAAAGAAAAGTCCAAGAAACTCTGGAGGAAAGCTAGACTTGGGAGTGACCTGTCATCCTAGCAAGAATGAGAAGTCTAAAATAGGTAGACTGGTGTTGTGTACCCAGGGAGAAAGATATCTTATCTCAAAAATAACTAATTATATTAAAAAAAGTTACCCTGACCTAAAGAAACATTGATTACATGTTTTCCCTCATTTGTTGTAACTAGGAACTGCCTAATGTAAGTAAAATACTGGATGGTAAAGACAAAAAAATACACTTGGACATGATAAATTATATAGTAGTCTACACATTCATACAGTGAGATCAAAGGAGGATATTCTCAGGATAGGACCACAAAGGCTCAATAGCTATGTGGATATGATCATATAAAATTATGTTTATTGAAATGAACTTAAGAAATGAAAACAAGAGCTTTTTTGTTATTTGAGCTTTTGTTTCATCGTTGCCTTTTGTTTTCTGTACCTTTTGTCTTGTATGTAAGTTTTTCTGTTCGGGGGACCCTAAGGGGGAGCACAGAAATGGTGGGACAAAGGGTGAACAAATGCAGCAGTGATACTCACTTGACACTATGTTGAAAATGAACTATACAGCTTGTGGGGAGGATCAGGAGGGAAAAGCTGGGGAAAAAAGGAGGAAAGAGGTCACACTGTTCAAAGGGAAATGTACTCATTACCTGACTTATGTAACTGTAACCCCTCTGTACATCACCTATACAACAACAATATGGGGGAAAAATAAAAATAAAATAGTAAAATATATATTTAAAAAACTGGCCCAAGAAGGGCTCAAGTGGGAAGCTCTGAATTAATTCAAACCCCAGTGCCCCCCCACCCCCAACCAAAATAAGGGTAGGGAATGAGGTAAGGGGGAAACAAGAATTAAAAAGAAAATTTATGGCCTTGCGCCAGTGGCTTACTCCTGTAATCCTAGCTCTTATCTCCAATTAACCACCAGAAAACTGGAAGTGGCACTGTGGTTCAAGTGGTAGAGCACTTGCCTGCCTTCCTTCCTTCCTTTCTTTTCCTTTCTTTCTTTCTTTCTTTCTTTCCTTTTTTTGGTCAGTCGTGGGTCTTGAACTCTGGGCCTGGGTGCTGTCCCTCAGCTCTTCAGTTCAAGGCTAGCACTCTACCACTTGAGCCACAGCACCACTTCTGGTTTCCTGGTGGTTAATTGGAGATAAGAGTCTTATGGACTTTCTTGCCCAGGCTAGTTTTGAACTGTGGTCCTAGATCTCAGCCTCCTGAGTAGCTAGGATTACAGGTGTGAGCCACCAGCGCCCAGCTTCCATGAGACTCCTATCTCCCAATAAACCACAGAAAATTAGAAGTGGCACTGTGGCTCAAGTGGTAGAGTGCTCGCCTGGAGCTGAAGAGCTGAGGGACAGTGCCCAGGCTCAGAGTTCAAGCCCCACAACTGACAAAAAAAAATTAGGAATTGGTAATAATCTGAAACAAAATGGTTCAGAATACAATATGCTCAGACTTTGCTTGTATAGAAAAGTGGCATAAACAACCTGAGCTAGGATGTAGGGCAGTGGCAAAGCGCTTGCCCAGCAAGTGCAATGTCCTGGGTTTGATCCCCAGTGCCAAAAAAGAAAAGACCACAAAAAATAACAGTTAAAAAAAAAGCAACCTGATTGGGCTGCAGTTGGCATCTGGTTTATATGATGATGGCTTGGCAGGTCTGACTGACTGCAGGTGGTTAAACTATGATACTCCCAGGTTATAGTAGCTGTTTTCGTATCAAGCAGCATTACAGTTCACTATATATTAAGAAACACAAAGGCTAAAGTTAAAATTTGTACAAAAGTAGCTTTAGGTCACCCCAGTATTACATCACAAACATTTTTGCAGGTAGTGTGTGTGTGTAAGTTTTTTTTTTTGGGTCTGGTCGTGGGGCCTGAACTCTGGGCCTGGGCGCTGTCCCTCAGCTCTTCAGCTCAAGGCTAGCACTATACCACTTGAGCCACAGCGCCACTTCCGGCTTTTTTCTTTTTGCTTATGTGGTGCTGAGGAATCGAACCCAGGGCCTCAGGCATGCAAGGCAAGCACTCTACCACTGAGCCACCTTCCCAGCCCCGTGTGTAAGTTTTTTTGAGAAAGAAATTTGCTATGTAACCTGCCTCCACCTCTCAAGTGCTGAAATTGCAATTATGTGTTGCTGTACCAGCGTGTCACACACTTTTGGCTGTCTATAAGACATTTTGTCAAATGTCTATTTCATAGTTTATTTGGCCAATTTTTGATAGCTTACTCTAAACTAGCATTACCTACACTTCAACCATTTTCCCCCTTTCTCTTTTACTGATTAATTAGAAGTGAGGGTTTTCTTTTGGTAAGAGCTAACACTTGGAATAAAGCAAACAGGAATTAATAGACATTCTTGAGAAGAAGAAGAATTCAAAGCTGTATCCAAATTGTATAATACAATTTCCTTTTCTTAATGTGTGACCAAAAGAGATGTCTGTGAAAATCTATTGGCACATGTGAGTTGTTTAGAAAAGAGTTTCCAGAAATGAAACAATTCTTTCAGCATGTCATGTAGACAGTTAAGAACAATAAATGTTACATGGCTATGGAAAATTTTTAATTTGGTTCTTAAGGAAGTTTTTAATTGTAAAAAATATCCTGAATTAATGAACAAGTCTCTAAATTGGAGAAGTAGTGTTGTTGTACTGACCTATTCTAGAATACCCTTACTGAACAATTTTGCAACTACTTGTTAAAAATCGAAGTAATCTGAACCAAATCTTCAAATCATGTTTAGAGGAGCTCAGGATACCAAATGTCTCATTTTCTAGTCTATAAGTAGGACTTTTAGATACTCTGAAGGGTGTACTTACCATTTTCACTTCCCATGGACACTAATGTGTTTAAAATGAATTGACAAAAAGGATAAGTTTTGTAGTCAGACATTTCTCATTCTTTCAACTATGTATTTACCAGCATTATTACTAAGATACTAACAATATTTAAGTAAACAACATAGAAAAAATTCCTTGAAGGAAGATGAAATCATAGAGGCCTTATTTATTTATTTAGTAGGGCCTTTAAGGCATA